TACGAACCAACTTTCCTTGCCCTCAAGTAGTTTTAGGTTTAGGTGACATGAAAAAGGCTTAGGTTTAAGGTGTGGTAACTGTCTCAAAGATAGAGATCAGCTATCTGGACAAGCAAAGGGATATGAAAATGGTAAAGAATGTCCAGATATGTATGTGGTAGCCATGAGTTGAAATCAAATGCAAGCATTGGTAATTAAAGATCAAGTTATGGTTCAAATAGATAGGGAAATGCATCAAATCACAGCAATGGTTGAATGAGATGTGCATGCAGTGATATGATCAAGATAAACATGGTTCTTGCTGCTCAATCAATCTCACCCTAATGCACAAGAGAATCTAAAAACAGGGCACTCAAGAAATCGCAAATGATGAACAAGTTTTCAAATCAAATCAACAATGCAAGTGAAAGATGCAATCCTAAACAATCTACAAATATGAATGCAAAAAGATGAAAATATTTTTGGATTTTTTTGAAAATTTTATGATTTTTTTGGTTTTTCTATGCAAAAGAAATGAAAAACTAAGAACAAAGAAAACAAGGTTAAATCATCTCTTGAACCCTCCCCCAAACTTAAATCACACAGTCCCTTGTGTGAGAAAATTTAGTGAAAGATTCAAGAGGGCAAAACCAAAAAAAAAAAAACAAATGCAAGAAAATATGAAATGGTATTACAAGGGTTGGTGTTTGGATACCTCAGTGTCCCCCAAAGAACTGGGAGGCAAGGTCGTGGTCTGGAGAGGGAGACGGCCATCAGGAGCACTCCACTCGACGGGTTCACCTCACTCGATCGAGCTTGCGGCTCCTCTTCTTCCTCTTCTTCATCGAAGTGGTGTGGCTTCCTTGGCCTTGGTGGAGCATGGCTAGCTCGTACTGTCCATAGGGGTTCCATCTACTCCGGGAGGCTCCTGGTAAGGCGTTGGATCGTACTCAAATCCGGATCCTCAAACTGGGCTCCTCAGTCAACTCGACCGTCAGCTCGATCGAGTTGAGTTTCCTCTGTTTGGACTCGATCGAGTCCGGTGGTCGAGCTGGAGCGTCTGGCCTTAGAAGTCTTCCTCCTTCTCTGCGAGTTGTCTTCTCCTTCCCTTGGCTCGAAAGAAGAGGCTCTGTGAGGCTCTTGGGCAGGGAGCCTCCTTGGAGTGGTGAGAAGTGATCTACTCCTAGGAATGTGGAACTCATGGGAGCCTTCTTCTTCTTGCTTGAAGAACCAGAAACCTTCTTCTCCAAACTTTTGATCTTGCTCACCATCTTGTCCATGGACTTTTGCATCTTCTCAATGGCTTTCCCTTGCCATTTGTTGAACTTTTGGAGAAGTCCAATCCTCTTGTGGGCAGCCACAACAGAGGGGTTCATCCTTGGAGCCTCATACTCCTCAAAATAATAGCACTCAGGCTCACCCAAATCCGCACTCTCCTGGACTCGATCCTCAGCTTGAGACTCAGCTCGATCCTCAGCTCGATCGAGCTCAGGCTCCTCTTCTCGCAAACGTCATCTCATGCCCAACTAATGTGTACACAGGGGGTCTGAAGTCAATGTTCTCACCCCTACTACTGTGGTGAGCTCAGGGTTGGGCAGGAGAACTTGGAGGGTCCAACCAATGGATGTGTGAACTTGAATTGGAACCTCCCATCCAACTCCTTGTGCTCAATGAGGAGGTTGGTCTTGCAAAACTTGATGTCCATCCAACCTGGTTCAGTGGCTCTCTATCAGTTGGGTTCACTCCAGCAGCACACAAGATAGGAGTGATGAGCCCTCCAACACTTAGCTTCTTCCTGTTGATGAGTGTTGTAGGCTGTGTCTTGTAGGTGGAGATGGTCAAGGAAAGGCATCAAGTTTCCTGTGTGATCTATCTCCCCTGATCCTCTTGCCATCGCTTGTGCGTGAGAGATGGGCTTGATTCCCATGTCAAGAAACTTGAGTTCCCCCTCGTTGATGTCCCGGTGCCTTCCTTGCAAAGAAGGTGTTGGCAAGTGCCTTGTGCACATACCTCAAGCACTGGGCTCCTGATTTGAGCAGCCTTGGACCTTGAGGAAGAGTACACTCCATCAGCGATTGTAGCCCAAACCCTTTGGAGTTCCTTTTCCTTGAAGTTCCACTTACCTTCTCCATAGTTGAACCCAAACAAGATCTCCAAGCTGCCTAAAGGTCACCATTCTCTTCTCTCCCTTAGCCAAGAACGTGATCCATCCCAATCCTTGGTCCAAATCAGCTCTATCTTCCTCATCGTACATGTGGTACCTCATTGAAGCAAGAACTCGCAAGTGAGCTCCTTGTAGGATTCCATGTGTGAGAGAAAAGCTTGGCCAAGTGCATGTTCTTGAGAACCAACTCCACATCTTCAAAGATTCCAAGGGCCTTCATTGTGTCAACATGTGGGTACTTGGTTCCACAAAGTCCATGGAGAAGAGAGCATTGTAGTGCTCTTGGTACATGGGGAGTTCTTCCTTCCTCCTCTTGTGGCTCAACCTCCTCCATAGGTTCATCTTGGTTACTCTCTTGCTCACTCTCTTCAACCAACTGATTCACCTCTTCTCCTTCCTCTTCACTCTCAGTCTCATCACTTCCTTCTTCACTTGGAGAGCCATTCCCTCCTCTTGAACAAGGTTCACTCCAATCTCAAACTCCCCTTGCTCACTCTCACTACTAATGGGGTCATTCCTCTTCTTGGTTCTCCTTCCTCCCTCAATCTCTCTCTCAGACTCTTCCTCAGAGTAGACATACTCCTCTGCATCAGACTCTTCCATCTTTGAGTCATTCCTCCAAATCGGCTTGCATTTAAGCCTTCTTTCCCTTGCATTGCTTGATTCACCCTCAACCATTCTCCTCTGTGAAGCGCGACTTCCCTCACTGTTTGTCATCTTGTTACACTGTTTCTTCACTAAAGTACCTGAAATGCATCAAAGATTACAAAGAATTAGAGTTGTAATGATCGGTTTGGTCAACTCGACACTCAGCTCGATCGAGTCAAAAAACTCGAGTGACAAACTCGATCGAGCTAGGTGAAAACAGAGTATAACCGAACCTAATTCAAGTATTAAGAGCTGGAAAGGATGCTAATCAATCAAATTGAACCAAGAACAACAAGTAATGGAACAATAAGCAATTCTAGTGAGACCCTAACCAATACCAAACTCAAATTCAATGTTTCAAGCACATGCAACAAGTTCTAATAGTAAAACAGAGGTGAGGTGAGGCAAATTCACAATAAAAACAGGAGAAGATATGAAAGCAATTACTCAAGAATAAACCCACAAGGGGCACATGCAATCAAAATCAAAGAGGAAACAAGCAATATGAGAAATCGAGATGAAGGAATCAAGGGTTTTAGGGTTCATACCTTGCTTGAATGATGAATTGAAGAACAGTAACTAGAACCCAAACAAGAATGAAGAACAATGAAATCGCAAAAACTTAAGAGAAAGAGATTGAAATTCGATTTTTCTTGTGGTGATGAGAGAGAGGATGAGTTTCAGAAATTTTAGAGTGTGGGAGAGTGGAGAAGTGGGTTCGATCGAGTTATGGGGAAGAGGGAGTGTTTGAGATGTGTGGTTGAGATTAAAAGGTGAAAAAGAGGGGACAAAAGCTAGGGTTTTTCTGATCGAATTCAGGGAGTGGGGGACCAAAATTTACTTGTGGGACCCACCCCCTTGACCAAGAAAACGGTTGGAAATTTGAAATTTTTGAAAACTTACCTTGGTCGAGTTGTGGAACTCGATCGAGTTGCCCTTGTTTCTAGCTCGATCGAGCTGTCGGTCGAGCTGGCTCCTTTGTCACCTAAACTTAACTTATTGAAAGGTTAAAGACACGAAAATAGATAGAAATTGCAATAATAGAGTATGTACAAGGATAAACATGGGACTTCCTCCCAAGTGAGCTTGTTTAAGGACCTTTACCCATGAGCATTGACCTTTACCTTCTTAGGCATTGGTTGAGCTAGTCCCACCATTGATATACCTCTAATTTACACACTTTTTATACTGTTTTAGCATTGTTTTCTAATGGTTTTTGGCAGGTTTTCTATCTAAAAAGGTAGTTTTACTATGTTTATAGTGTCTAGAGTCTAAACAGGTGAAATGATGCATTTTGGAGCAAAACCATAGGATTTGCACTTCAAGCCGCTCCATGCACAAGCACCAACTTTAAGAGGGCCCAGAAAAAGATCTACTCAATGGATTTCATCAAGACCAGTTCCCTGCGTGCTCTGATTGAGTTAACTTTCCAACGCAACTGGAACGGCCTAATTTGGATGAGTAGAAACGGAGTTATAACCAAAAGAGTGGAGACTGTCTAGACGGCCTTATCAAGAATCAGTGCCCAACCGCACAGACCGGTTGGCCGAGAAACTATTGTTTCGCGCTCGGCCAAAGTCACATCCGTCCTTCTGAAGTCTCGGCCAAAGTTCGAAACCGACCGGCCGATCACGCAACACGACCCGGGGAACATTGTCCCGCGGTCGGCCACGCTACAAACGCTCCACGCCGCGACGCACACGACCATGCCGCGCGACCCGGGGAACAAGGCCTCGCGGCCGTGCAACCCGTTCCCGTACCACGGCCGATGCATCCGTCCGAGTCGGGGAAGATTGTCCCACGACCGGCCGAGAAGCCATCGGCCAAATCTCTATCCGCTCGACCACGCCGGCCGACCGTTATATCATCCGGCCGCTGATATACCTCTAATTTACCCACTTTTTATACTGTTTTAGTATTGTTTTCTAATGGTTTTTGGCAGGTTTTCTATCTAAAAAGGTAGTTTTACTGTGTTTATAGTGTCTAGAGTCTAAACAGGTGAAATGATGCATTTTGGAGCAAAACCATAGGATTTGCACTTCAAGCCGCTCCATGCACAAGCACCAACTTTAAGAGGGCCCAGAAAAAGATCTACTCAATGGATTTCATCAAGACCAGTTCCCTGCGTGCTCTGATTGAGTTAACTTTCCAACGCAACTGGAACGGCCTAATTTGGATGAGTAGAAAAGGAGTTATACCAAAAGAGTGAAGACTGTCCAGACGGCTCTATCGAGAAATCAGCGCCCAACCGCGCAGTCCGGCTGGCCGAGGAACGATGTTCCGCGCTCGGCCAAATCGTATCCGTCCGTCTGAAGTCTCGGCCAAAGTCCAAACCACTCGGCCGATCACGCATCACGACCCGGGAAACATTGCCCGCGGTCGGCCAAGCCACAACGCTCACGCCACACCGCGCACGACCAAGCGCGCGAGCCGGGAACAAGCCTCGCGGCCGCGCAACCTCTCGCGTACCACGGCCGATGCATCCGTCCGAGCCGGGAAGAACGTCCCGCGTCCGGCCGAGAATTTCATCGGCCAAATCTTCATCCGCTCCGACCACGCCGGCCGACCGCGAATCCGTCCGACCCCGACCGTTCCGACTCGGCCACGACCCGACTGTCCGGCCGATCGTCCCGACCGACCGTCCCAACGCCGCGGTCGACCCGAAGCCCTTTTGAAGCCCAAAATTATGTTTTCAAGCCCGGCTTAACCCTAAGCCGCCTCTAGAAAGACCTAGCACTATATATATGGATTTTTAGCCTCTTGTGAAAGAGAGCCGCCTTGTATTTCGATTTCCTACTCTAAGTTTTATTGCAATCATGTTTTCTTCATCTCTATGTGTGTTTGCTTTGATCATGTCTGAGTAATCCACTAGTTAGGTTGCTAGGGTTACTATTCAATGAGTTGCTTGCATGATCTTTGATTTCAATGATTAGCTAGGGATTATATTAGAGTCTTTGTCTCGTCTTGTGCACTTAACTAATGCTGATTGCTTTACCGCGCATCTAGTAATCCGATCTTAGGTTGATTTGAGCCTCGACAGTGCTGTATCATTCGCCGGACATATTCTTTGACAAGCTAGGTTTCTTAGACTGCGAAAGTTGATCTATCTATATCTAGTGAACTGTATCAGAACCTATTCATTCTAATGCTTGATCTAATCACCTAGGGACATACCAAAAGTTTAGCGACTAGGTAGATTAGCAAAGGAGCCGGAGCCTCGAAAGTGGAATGGTTTTATATTCGTGATCTGTGTTCTAGATGGTTCTTAATATCCCAATATCCCTAATCAATTCAATCTATCATTGTTTCATTGATCATTGCTTGCTTCTCTGCGATAGCCCCTATGACCTAGCGCTTTTCCTTTATTGTTTACAACCTCGTTATACTTGCTAGTTCGGTTCACCATTACAACCTCAATCATACTTTTGTTTTAGCTTGATCCAAAATCCATAGTTACAAAGTGTACTCAATAGCCAGTCCTTGTGTTCGATACCCATACTTCCGCGATCTGTGCACTTGCAGAGGTCTAGGAGTTTGGTAAAACCTGACTCCACATCAGCCGCGACCGTTCCGACTCGGCCCAGACCCGACTGTCCGGCCGATCGTCCCGACCGACCGTCCCAACGCCGCGGTCGACCCGAAGCCCTTTTTGAAGCCCAAATTTCATATTTTCAAGCCCGGCTTAACCCTAAGCCGCCTCTAGAAAGACCTAGCACTATATATATGGATTTTTAGCCTCTTGAGAAAGAGAGCCGCCCTTGTATTTCGATTTCCTACTCTAAGTTTTATTGCAATCATGTTTTCTTCATCTCTATGTGTGTTTGCTTTGATCATGTCTGAGTAATCCACTAGTTAGGTTGCTAGGGTTACTATTCAATGAGTTGCTTGCATGATCTTTGATTTCAATGATTAGCTAGGGATTATATTAGAGTCTTTGTCTCGTCTTGTGCACTTAACTAATGCTGATTGCTTTACCGCGCATCTAGTAATCCGATCTTAGGTTGATTTGAGCCTCGACAGTGCTGTATCATTCGCCGGACATATTCTTTGACAAGCTAGGTTTCTTAGACTGCGAAAGTTGATCTATCTATATCTAGTGAACTGTATCAGAACCTATTCATTCTAATGCTTGATCTAATCACCTAGGGACATACCAAAAGTTTAGCGACTAGGTAGATTAGCAAAGGAGCCGGAGCCTCGAAAGTGGAATGGTTTTATATTCGTGATCTGTGTTCTAGATGGTTCTTAATATCCCAATATCCCTAATCAAATCTATCATTGTTTCATTGATCATTGCTTGCTTCTCTGCGATAGCCCCTATGACCTAGCGCTTTTCCTTTATTGATTTACAACCTCGTTATACTTGCTAGTTCGGTTCACCATTACAACCTCAATCATACTTTTGTTTTAGCTTGATCCAAAATCCATAGTTTCAAAGTGTACTCAATAGCCAGTCCTTGTGTTCGATACCCATACTTCCGCGATCTGTGCACTTGCAGAGGTCTAGGAGTTTGGTAAAACCTGACTCCACATCAAGTTTTTGGCGCCGTTGCCGGGGACTGCAGCAGTACCTTTGGAACTCGACTAGGATCTAGTCTAGAACCTTTTCCTGTTTTACTTTTCTTTTGCTTTTGAATTTTTAGTTTTTGATTTCTTTTCTTTGATTTTTGCTTTTGTTTTTGTTTTTCCCTTTTGATTTAACTTGTTTCCAAGACTCTTTTCAGGTGCATGACTAGGAGGTCCAACAAGGACAACCTAGTTGAACATCCAGAGATAGACAAGCTTGAGAAGCAACTTAGGAAGCAAAAGCCCAAGAGATGGCCGACGAAGCAGCTCGCGCTCACGCCGCTGAAGTGGCGCGCGCTCAAGAAGAAGGAAGAGATCCACCTCCTCCTCCTCCTAACCCTGCTGGAGATGTGAATGCACAACCCCAAGCGGAGCACCTACAATCGGAGACTATGACTCTGCCGATGCTTTCTTCATGGATAGAAACCCTATCCATCCACCACTTCCTGCAAGGAATGACTATGAGATCAAGCCTCAGATCATTGCATTGGTTAGACAGAACCAATTCAATGGCCTTCCAGCTGAGCACCCTCTTGATCACATAGAAAACTTTGAAGAAATTTGCAGCACTACAAGATCCAATGGAGTCTCTGCTGACTACCTTAAGTGCAAGCTCTTTTCATTCTCTCTTGGCGACAAAGCTTCAAGATGGTTGAAGTCTCTGCCAGCTCACTCCATTACCACTTGGGATGAGTACAAGGCTGCATTCATCAACCACTTCTACACCAAACAAGATCAATTTCTGTAAGGAACAAGATCTCCACTTTCGCCAAGCCAACAATGAGTCTTTCTATGAGGCGCTAGATCGATTCAAGGAGTACATTAGGGACTGCCCTAATCATGGTTTCAATGAGGGAAACCTATGGAACATCTTCTATCGTGGCATAGACCACAAGTACAAGCTTTCATTGGACACTGCAAGCAATGGAAACTTCATGACCAAGACTGTTGATGAAGCTAAGGTTCTTATTGAGAATCTTGCAGCTAGTGATTGTAACAACTGTCCTGATTATGACCGCTCAAGCCGCACCACTACTAGCTCCCCTGATTCTTTTCAAATGACTGAACTCAAGAACATGATGGCTCAAGTTCTTAAGGGACAGCTCAAGCATATCAATGCAATAGAAGGGATGAGTGATGCTAATGAAGATTCATCAAGAGAATGCATGGGAGATTTCTCTAATGAAGCCAATGAAGAAGATGTGAACTACATTGGAAACTATGGGAACAAGGGATACAATCCAAGCTATCGCCCAAACCCCAACATGTCTTATAGAAACCCCAATGTGGAGAATCCTCAAGACCAAGTGTATCCTCCAAGGTATCCACAACAACAAAGACCTCCTTACCAATCTCAAGGAAGTCAATTTCAGCCAAGGCAAGGATATGAGCAGAGATCATCATATCCGCCCAAGGAGCCATATGCTTCTTCACCAAATCAAGCTCCTCCAAACCAACAAGGTGGGAGATTTGAAGGAATCCTCCAACAGATCATGGATGGCCAGAAGAGAAACACTAAAGAGATGTATGAGAAGATGGACACTTTGTTCAGCAATCTCAACACCAAGTATGATGCTGTTGCCACTCATGTGAAGAAACTAGAGACTCAAGTCACTCAAACTATGGAAGCTGTTAAGAGACAGGAAGCTGAATCCAAGAAGTCCTTTTGCAACTCAGCCGCCATAGAAGAAAGATTTGAAGACCAAGTTCCAGAATGGATGCTTTCAAAACCTACTGTTGATTGCATGATTTGGCCTGAAGAGAATTACCCAGAGAGAGAGTCCAATCGAGCTAGAAAGAGAAGACTCTTCCCAAAGATTATCCCCAAGACAGATAACTCAGGAAAGTTTGCTGTGCCTTGTATCATCAAAGGTAACATTCTTGAGCAATCTTTGTGTGACACAGGAGCCAATGTGAACATCATGTCTAAGAGGATAGCTGACAAGATAGGCCTCACCAAGATAGAGCCATCATCCATCTCCATCAACTATGCTGATTCATTCTCACAAACCCCTATGGCTTTGTGCCTAATGTGATGGTGCAGATTGGAAATTGCTCTATCCCTACTGATTTCCAGATTGTGGAAATGAGAGAGAGTAGCCATAGACCTCTCATATTTGGAACCCCTTTCCTGTCTACTGTGGGTGCCATATTTGATTTCCCCAATCAAAGAATCTCTTTCAACAAGGTGAACAAGGGTATGTTCTTCCCTATGTGTTCAACAAAGAACTCTTTTGTTGACATGGTCCAAGAGGAGAAAGCTACTTTGAAGCCACCCCAAGAAGGAGAAACTGAAGAAACAATCAAGGAAGATCCCATTCCTAAGCCCAAGCAGCTTGCCAAACAAGCAAGGAGTAAGACTAAGGCCCCTACACCAAAACCGCCCAAGGGATCAACCAAGATTGAAGATGAGGCCAAGCCAAGAAGGAAGGTTAGAAAAGCCTAGGTCTGGCCGCAACATGAAGCTTCTATTCCCAAAGGAGCTTATTGATGAGAATCTAGAAGGATTCAAGGAGAAAGTGACAAGAACTCTAAAGCTTTTTCCTAAGGCAGTAGTGCCAAGGGACATTCATGGAGAGATTGTCTATCCAGCTGTGAATCACCCACCAGATACTCATTGCAAGGAGAAAAGACTTGGAGGATCAAGATGCCTCTTGTCTCCATCTTCTCCTGAGCGCCAAGCCTTACAGTCAAGCTAAAGACTTAAAACAAGCGCTGCATGGGAGGCAACCCATGAGGTACTTTTACTTTTCTTTCTTTAATTTTCTTAGTTTTTGTTTTGCTTTTGTGTTTTCTTTGTTTTAAGATAGGATAGAAGGAGAAAAAGGTGTGAAAACACAATCCGCGCCAAAACATTGGCCGCGGACGCGCAAAAAATTTTGGCCGAGCAATTCCATCTGGCCGACCACGGTCGAGCCGGGAAGGAAAGCCGTGCTCGGCCGGAGTCTATTGCGCGACAGAAACGTTCGCGCGCACGCACGAACCGGGAAGAAGGCCGCGATCGGCCGGATTTTCGTATCGGAACGGACCGACCGTGCCGGTCGATCCGGGAAACAAACGATCGGCCTCGGCCGAAATCTCTCGCCACGAATTTGGCCGACCAAATCGCTCGACCGCGAAAATCCATCGGCCATCGGCCCAAAACTTTTCTAGGCCAAGGTAAGTCCCCTTTTCATTTAATTCAAACCGGTTTTAACCAATCTAAACCAACTTAAACCGGTTTTCAATCAAAATTCGAATTTGAAAAGGAAAATTGATAGGATTTAGATCTTATTTACTTTACCTTTCCCTTGAAAACCACAAGAACCTCTCTTTCTTCTCCAAAACCCTAAACTCCATTAGAGGAACTCTAAGAGTTTTGATTTCAAAACTTTTACTGTTCATAACTCTAAATTGGAATTTACTTGCTCTTGCAACCTTATTCACTTTTCAACACACAAGGTATGTCTTCTAACTCTAATCCTATGTTTATGCAAGATCGAAAATTCTCAATAAGTTTCATGTTTGGTCTAAACTCTTGTCTAAGACTTGAAATTAGCATCCTTATAGTCTTGTAATGAACTTTGCTAGGTGGAACCTAGGTGGTTTAGAGTTAATTTGAAGTTTAATTTCACAATTGAATAGTTTTTCACAAAACTTATTGGGCATTCCAAACCCCTTATTCAAAGGTGAAATTGCTTAGGCATACTTCAATTCATTAGTTTATCTAGTGATTACTTGGATTAGAAACTCAATTTCTCTTGATTTGCTGAAAATTTTGATTTTAAGCACCATAATCTTGGGATGAACAGTAAAATCCGAAAATTAATTTTGAAAAAGTGAAATTTCTATTTTGTCTCTTTGATTCATGATTAAGCCTTGAGTTGTTCCTTTATTCCATATCATTATTGCAACTCAATTAGCTTATTCTTCTTTTGCATTAATCACAAACTCATATTTCTTCCCAAGAATTTGCTCTTGTAGGTACACAATGGCAAAGACAAAAGGAAATGAGAGTATGAAGAAGAAGAAGAACCCATTCATGCAACCACCAAAGAAGCAAATCAAGCTAGGGAGTAGTAGCTCCAATGCAAGAGCAAATACCAACTTCACCACATTCCATTGATGCAATCAAGAACATGTGGAGAGTCCAAGAAGAGGAGAAGATGATTGGGCACTTGTAACCTTTGTTGGAGAACAAAATCAAGACCCAAGAAAGTGTAAGAAGGCAATGGAGAAGGTGAACATCGAGCCATGTGTGAAGATGGACACCCAAACCCTTGATCTTCTCAAGATAAGAGATGATGTCACATGGTACATAAGGAAGCTAGGCTTGAGCAAGCTCTTCAAGCTAGAATGTAGTGAGTACTCACAACTCACCAAGGAGTTCCTCTCCACAGTAGCTCTTGCCTTTCCCAACCACAATGGAGACCAACCAGCTGGTGATGGACTCCTACTCTTCAAGATAGGCGATGCCAATGGGCGCATCTCATCTCAGCTCTATGCCAACTCTTTGGACTTCCCAATGAGACAGCACATGACTTCAAGGAGAACTCAAAGAGGAAACAAGCTGCCTTTGCTGATTGGACACACTTTGCCAATGAACCATTCTTGCCTTCAAGGTCAAAGGTGTCTAGAATCACTCATCCAGCCATTCGCTATGTGCACCGCCTCATCTCCACCACTTTCCAATGCAAACAAGAAGCCAACAAGGTCACAACTGATGAGTTCTACATCCTCACCACACCATTCATCAAGCATGAGTACAAGGCCAACCTTGGACTTTTACTTGCCAAGACATTCATCAATGTGAGGAAGCTAGCTAAAGACTTGGAAGGCAACAAGAAGCTTTGTGTTCGTTTTGGGAGGCTTATCACGGCCATAGTACTGCATGTGGGGATTGACATTCCCAACTATGAGCCACTACCCAAGCCAACCCCTTTGGATCTCCATGCTCTTCAGCACATCCACTTCCTAAACCGTTGGACTAAAGACCCAACTCGGTTTTGCTATGAGTTTCCAATTGGTCCAGCCAACACTTCCCTTGTCTTGCTGCCACATGAGACATCCCAAGCCTACGCTCAGGAGTTGTCACTTTCCAGCCCAATGAGGAAGAGTTCTATGTTCCATCAAGTGAGAAACCATCATTCCCCATGCTCACCTATCGCACACTTCAGCATGCAGTCAAGACTCAACGCCGCATCCAAGAACGCCATGTTCTCACTACTGGCATGGC